CATAAGACATCGCTCTCTCAATGACGCATCAACGACTGTCCGCGTCAAGACCCTTTGACGTTTGTGACGCGGACGTCAAAGGACACGTCTCCATTCGTTCACAATGTGCACAACCCTGAGAAATCAATGTGGCTACACGCATCGGTCAGGACACTCTGGGGCGACGAAGTAGCACCTCAGGTTACAGTAGCGATGAACTTCCACGCAATTCCTCGCTCAAGCCACCTTGAATACTCTTCAAGCGGCACCAATGATATTCCGTCGTCTACCAAGGGAAATCGTCCTGCATGTGAATACGCATTACACCGTCCTACTTGTGTGATAGCAGCTGGAGAGGAACTGATCCAGCACTCTTTTACTTGAGGGGTCCAGCACTTGTGCTTCCTAGGCGTCGCCGTACAGTCGCTGCGAGACAACGACACGAGCGCGGGTTGGCCGCCAGAGGCGGCCAACAGAAGGGCCTCTCGTACTGGTGCCACCACCGCAGCTTGGGCTTCTGCTTCGTCGTCCTCTCTCTCTGGTAGCAGCGGCCTTACCGGCTTAGCCTGTGCAATTACTCTTGCAGACTTTGGTATGGCAGCACGCAAACCCCCATTCGTGTGCAGGCTTGTCATACCAACTGCTTCAAACTTGCGTGTGGTTGATTTTCAGCACGTCACGATGTACTTACTATTGGTCACAGCCACTCCGACGCCTTTCATCTGCAAATCAGTCAACGAACACAATTCTTCTTAAGAGCTATCTACATCTGAGACGATTCCACAGCTCCACGCAATCGACCAGTCTTCTGAACTGTGCAGAGGAAAACTCGGGCGAAGAGTACGTTTCATCTCGATGGACACGATCGACACAACACCGTCATTCCCATCATTGGCAAGGCGCCAGCCCAAAGCGGTTGATTCAGAATGCACAAGTGCACTGCGTTCACACAAGATGCATGTTCACAACCACTCGACCGTCGCGTGCATATATATTCGACGTAGGATTGGACGCGGCAATGAGCAATACATTCGGCGGCGCTGGCGTCAGTTCGCCTTACTGTTCGAGCATGGCAAGTCGTTGATCCTGATTCAAGTTGAACTTCTTCATATCGTACTGCTGGCGCATGATCTCACTGGCGGAGTTGATTGCGGATGGACTTCGCCGCCTTGGGTCACGTCGTTCTCGGTTACCTCCCACGCGAAGAGCTTCGTCTTGGCCGACTAGATGGTGTCGCACACGTGATGGAAAAACTCATCCCCTGAAACGTCGCTTCGTCTACGTTCAGGTCCGGGTTCGGCTTGTCGCCCATTGAATGGGTCTTGTTGTCGTAGAACGCCGAGTTTGGGTTCAAACTGCGCAAATACTTGGTTGTGTCCTCTCA